CTTGCCCTCTTGTGGGGGGAAGTGGGGGGCAGTTAGAAGGGGGAGGCTGGGGGGGGTGGGAAGAGGGAAGAGGGGGATCTTTGATTGGTGTGTAAAATGAATGAAAAAAAATTCTTAATTAAAAAAAAAAAAGAGTGCTTGCAGCTAGCTCTTCCAGAGGACCCTGGTTCAATTACTAACACTCACACTGAGAGGCTTACAACCACCTATAACTATAGTTCCAGGGGATCTAATACCTTCTTCAGGCCTCTGCAGGCACTGTACTCACAGACACATATCCACACATAATTTAACAATAAAAGTAAATCTTAATGAAACAAACATATATTCAACATGTATACAAAAAGGTTTGGAGAACATTATGAATATTAGATCCAAAGAGGTAATTTTGGAGAAACGTTTGTATAAATGGCATTTGTTAATTTGCTTTGACCTCAGAAAGGCAAACTTTTCTAAGCCTTAACTATCTTCCCATGATTCTTGTTTTCAGTGATGAAAACTGTTGACAAAGGACAGAATAAAGGAATTTTCTTTCATTCCATTGACTGTCTTAAATTTTTTTTTTCTTATAAATGGGTGTTGCTAAAATTCTTTCCCAGGAGAAGTCAGCAGCATCTACCCCTTCTCCTAAGGTTCCCAACAATAAACCCAGGCATGAATTTATGAGGCTTTATTACAGAGCTTAGGACTGGCTAGTTTCGGGAATGTGGGTATTCTCCTTTCCAACAGGCCACACCTGGAAAGCCTTTACCCAGCATGAATAAGGGCTTCCCTGTAGCCACATAGACATAGATGAAACGTGCGCGCGCGCACGCACACACACACACACACACACACACACACACACACACACTTATTCTCCAACTGCCTATATACTCTAGCCCCTCCCCCAAGCCATGTGCAAGTAAGGCAGAGTTGCATACAACAGGTGATACAGAGTGGCTAGGTACTCAGATGAGGGTCTCACAGTGCTCCCCAACCCTCTGTGAGGGGTATAAACAGTCATCAAGCCCTGCTGAGATAATTCTCTTAAAATGAGGTGCGCCTGAACTCCCCAAAATGGCAATTGCTTGGCTTAGAGGACAGTCATTCATAACAGTGGGGGGTATTTTCAACCTCTGGAAGAAAACTTTATGTTATCATGAAAAATCTATTCTAGAGACAAATTGTTATGAGTCAAGGACACATAAAGACATGGCTGTCTCTTGAAATGTGTTAAATCAATTTAAGAGGTCACGTACAATGGCAAGAAGCACCACCTCCTTCAGACCCTATAGCCCAAGGTCATGGGTGGAGCAAATACCACTACAATCGATACTTAAATTACTGACATAACACAAGAAGTCACTTCAAAAGGAAAAGTATACTACGCAAATGTATCAGCTGACATTGAAACTACTCTGCTTCTCTGCCTAATGATGTCTGCTGCCTTATGTGTACATAGTCCTGCTTCAGGCCTTATCATCATCGTTACACACATCCAGATTTTTCTTTGTCTTGGGTGCTAGTTACAAGTATTATTTTATATGCAGCAAAGCAAAATCCAGCTTAGCAATTAAGAGCACTTGCTGCTCTTGCAAAGGACCAGAGTTAGGCTCAATTATTTCTAGGTAAAAATTGGCTCATGACCATCTTAACATCAGCTCCAGAGATCCGATAGCCTCTTCAAGCTTCCCCTGACAAGTGCATTCAGTTGTATTCACATGAATGACACACATACAGGGACACCCACATATACACATGGAAATAAGTTGTATGCATGTATTGTGTGTTTTAAATAAATAGTATCACATTACAGGTGTTATTCAGTTTGTTTCAAAAACATTTTGGTGCTTTTCCAAATTTGCATACATAGGTTTGGTTGATTATGAAAATTGTGGTATAGTGGTAGATGTGATATAGAGTCAGATGCAGTGGTATCGGTATCAGGTATTCAAAGTCAGACTCAGATTCATAATAAGTTCAGGGTCAGTCAAAGTTACATGAGTCCCTGTCTCAAGACAAAACAAATGACCTCCTAGCACAGTAGTCTTTGATGTGGAAGCTTCTCTGTTCTTTGGAGAGTCAAGCGATTGTAATTACTGATGACTTAAGAAAGAAACAGCTTTTAAAGAGAATAAAGCCAATCTCTTATTACTGCGTGCTGATTCTCTCTTCTCCAAAGTCAGCATTTATTTGACAAGCCAATGATAAGCCCTTTTTTGCTTAGTTTTAAGTTTTTCTTATATGCAGCAAAACAAAATCCAGCTATTTCTAATAACTGGTAGTCAATGGTGGCAGTGGTCTTCCACTAGAAGCAGTCGGTCCAAGAGTTTAAAACTGTGTCTCTTAGCAAAAAGAAAAATCTATGTGACCACTTACTTCACATTTTATCTGTCTCTAAAAGTCCTACTTTTAAGAGTACAAATGAAGTAGTTCTTTGTAAGGAGACCAAGAAGAATGACAGGGAAACACAGAGAGTGATTAAATTTCCTGTTATTTTGTGTAATTTCCTCTGGCAAGTGGTTCAGAGTGGCCTCAGAAACTGCCCCAGGACTGGTCCTCTGTGAAAAGCAATTTCAGGGGTATATTTTTCTCATCACTCTATCAAGAAAGCTCCAGCCCATCCTCACTCTCTTCCTCCCATATCACTGCTGAGTATACGGTGTTTCTGTTGTTGTCAGAGGACACTGGAAGGAAGGAGAGCAGGGTACATTTTCCACTCAACCACTGTCTAGTTAAATTGTTAAAGCAGGTGGTTATTCAAAGCCATGATGGATGGATATGCATAAAAAAGTACTTAACTGTTGATTTGGTTCAATTCTCCTAAGTTTTGAAGTTATCATAATAACTTACGTTAATTTACTACTTTCCACGTCCCAGACATTGCAACAATAATCCTAACAAGTAGATCCTGATATTATTGAGAATTTTTACAAGTAAAACAAATGAAATACAAACTGGCTAAGTAGTTTGTAACTCATACTGCATGGCTAGTGTGCTGTGGGATGTTCTGCATGGCAAATGTGTTGCTGATTAGTCAATAAATAAAACACTGATTGGCCATTGGCTAGGCAGGAAGTGTAGGCGGGACAAGGAGGAGAATAAAGCTGGGAAGTGGAAGGCTGAGGCAGAGAGACACTGCCAGCCGCCATTATGAGAAAGAGCATGTGAAGATGCCGGTAAGCCACGAGCCATGTGGCAAGGTATAGATTAATGGAAATGGATTAATTTAAGCTGTAAGAACAGTTAGCAAGAAGCCTGCCACGGCCATACAGTTTGTAAGCAATATAAGTCTCTGTGTTTACTTGGTCGGGTCTGAGCGGCTGTGGGACTGGCGGGTGAGAGAGATTTGCCCTGACTGTGGGCCAGGCAGGAAAACTCAATCTACACTAGTGGGCAGTAGAGCCAGTATTTAAAGTCATATTTTTTCTCATAAATCACAAACTCAATGTTCACATTTTCCTATTTCAAACTGAATAAAACTAATAGATGGATTATGGGGCCACAGAAACATTCACTGAAAACAGATATGAGGTTTTTTTCTACACAAAAGAATTCATTTTTAAGCAGGATCTTATAGAGCCCAAAGGCTGGACTTGAACTCACTGTGTCACAGAGGAACTACAAATACTCCTGCCTCCACCTCCATGATTATGGACATTCACCAGCACACTCAGCTCAATGAAAGATCATGTTTCCTTAAACTGGAGGGTCAACCTAGGGTTTCAAGCTTTGCTAGGCAAGTGCTCTACCAGTATGCATATCCCCAGGCCTTTTTTGATGTTTTCATTTTGTTTTGTGGTTGGTTGAGTTGAGGAGAAAGATTGGTTTAGGGTTTTTTGAGATAAAGGTTCTCATGTTGATGAGGCTGGCCTGGAACTCACTATGTTACCAAAGATGACCTTGTACCTTTGGTCTTTCTGCATCCATCTTCTGAGTGCTGGGATTCAAGCATGTGCCAAGATGCCCAATTTTATGTGGTGCTGGAGGAGAAACCCAAAGCATTGTTCATGCTAGCCAAACACTCTACCAACTAAGATATTCCTTAAGACTAATGGAAGAAATTATAATAACATAAAATAAATAGAATCCATTAAAAAACCAAAATAGCACTGTGACTTCAACTGTTCATCATGTTTTAATGTGTTCCCAGAGAAAACTGTGCTGTATTTTGCATTCACTCATATTTCTGATATCTATGTAGAGCTGTAAAAATTGCAAATGACCAAATAGTCAGTAAAATGGAACCTGGACCATTCCAAAGACAGTTCAGATTAATATGTTTGTAATAGACTGCTTTTCCTTTTATAGATGAATCAACTATGAAAACTAAAAATGTAAATACTTTTTGAACCTCAGAATGTAAAATATGTTTTGTTTTCTCTCCATTTTCTTTATGGCCTAAGAACCAAATTAAAATTAACTATGTGCAATTCTCTGTAGCTTTTTGAATATCACTTTTATTTTTTAAAACTGTAATTCTTTTCCCATGATAACTTAATCATGGGCTTCTAAATTTTAGACTCATTTCCTTTCTTTGGACTGAAATACAGTCTTTTCTGGCATAGCCAGGCCAGGCTCTTAGGTAAAGGATTTCAACATATAATTGTTTTGTGAATACATTTATAAGTCACTCTGAACTTGCCATCAATATTTTTTGTTTCAAAATGTTACATTAAATCTGTTTTAATTAGATAATTTAATTTACATTAAATGTATGTAGAAACAGTGTTTTTTTAACTCAATAAATTTATCTGATTTTATGTGTTAAGTAAATTCATTTCTGAATTTTTTTCACCTCTTAATTATAACTGCCCAACACTGTTGAGACCTGGATCCTATGGAGGAGGAAAATTGAGATCGGCTAGCTGCTCAGGAGCATCCCTGTTGCTCTGGATGTTTCTCTAGTTAATTGAGACAATGAACCCTGTATCTTCAATGATGCAATTCTGACTTAAGTGCCATTTGATGTTCCTTAGTTTTCTTACTGTCTCATCAAACTCAATTTCACCTTTCAGCTCTGGTCCTTGATATCCTCTGCTGTTTGTGTGTGGAAGCCTGAACAGGTGACAAAGACTCACATTAACATCTACAAGGTATCTTTTTTCTTTTTGTTTTCTAAGGGCTATTTTATTATTCCAAAACACAGAGCAGGGTGGCACAAACGCTCTTAGCCATGGAGGTGGGAGATCACACCGACTGCTCACACCTGACCATCTCTTCTGCTCAATCCAAGCTGGCAAGTTCCTCTGCACACAGGAAAATAAATCTCTTGCTTCCCGTTCTAGAGCTGAGTCCCCTGTGGCCATCATTATGTAATCTAATTTTCTGTAACCACTTGTGATTATCAGTTTCCTACTGGCTAGTCAGTCTCTCTCTCTTGGCCTCTTACAAAATAAATTCTCTGATGTCTGGCATAACTGAAGATTCTAACAACTTTTTGCTCATCTATTTAAGTGCTAAATTCTGTTGTCTTGGTTTGGGTTTTTATTGCTGTGATGAAACACCATGATCAAAAACAACTTGGGAAGGAAATGGTTCATTTTGCTTACCCTCCCATATCACAGTTAGTCACTGGAGGGGGTCACGGCAGGAACCTGGAGGAAGTAGATGACACAGAGGCCAAGGATGAGTACTGCTAAACTGGCTTGCTTCTCAAGGCTTGCTCAGCCTATTTTCTTACAGCATCCAGATGCCCAGGATGGCACCACCTACAATGGGTTGGGCCCTCCACATCAATCATTAATTAAGAGAATGCCCTATAGACTTGCCTACAGCCCAATTTTATAGAGGCATTTTCTCAATTGAGAGTCCCTCCACTCAGATGACTTGAGTTTGTGTGAAGCTGACATAAAAAGTAGCCAGCACAACCATATGTAATTCTAACAAAGATATTATCAACTCAATGAAAAATATCACCATATATTCCCAGTTGTTATTGTTAGAGACCACAGGTTAGGGGACTTATTCTACTTTTAAAACACTTTGAGGTGTCTTGTTAAAAGTGCATTTTGGAATGAACCAAGTGCCTTCTTGAGGCTTCCACAGATATGGACCAAGAAGACCACATTAGATTGTTTGTAGCAATGCTGCTTCTAACTCAATAACTTAAGAAACAACATAAAAGCAACCAGCAGCAATGTGGATAAACAAGGGGGTGGCCACAGAGAGGCGCATCATACTCAATAAAAATGAGTGCACCAGCAGGACGGTGGTGGCGCACGCCTTTAATCCCAGCACTCAGGAGGCAGAGGCAGGTGGATCCCTGAGTTCGAGGCCAGCCTATTCTACAGAATGAGTTCCAGGACAGCTAGGGCTACACAGAGAAACCCTGTCTCAGAAAAAAGCAAAAGCAAAAACAAGAGTACACCAGAGAGACACTGAATTACACACCCACAAAGATGAGTGGAAGAAAAGCAAGTGTTAAAACACAGACATGACCGAATATTTTTAAATATAATTTTAAGTTAAAAGCAATATTGTATATTGCTTATTGGCATATTTATGTACAGTAAATGTATAAAAGCATATTGTTGACAGCAGAAGAATGGTTTATGTGGTTGTGTGGTTGAGGACTGATGCCAGAGAAGAACCACAAGGCATTTACTACATTTGTAATGTTTCATCCGCCAAGGTTTGTCATGGGGACCCGATTGTAGTGGGTAGCTGTTCTAGCTATGACCTTGAAGTACCACCCCTAGTGATGCAGCTGATGACTGCTCTACCTGCCTATGACCTTGAAGTACATGCCCCTGGGGTGTGGCCGCTAGGGACCCTTAAGACCTGGGATGCACGTACACAGAGTTCTCTTCACTCCCTTGTAGTTTGGATTCTGGGACTGACCAGGCAGATCTTGGAAGAAGATCAGCATGGGACATTGCTCAGCTTTCCAGACCCTATGATAAATTCCCATGCTGTAGTGAGTTACCTCCTAATAAATTCCTTTGCTCATTAAATAGGCTCCATGGATTTCTCACATTACCTGTTAGCTAATATTCTTTGGGCACTTGTGTGTCTGATATAATTCACATATATTATTATGTAGTTGCAATCTGATACAGCCATTTGAAAAAAATAACTGAAGCAAATACATATTCCCTAATGCTTCAAACCAGTGATGTGGTGACAGGACCACAGAGAAGGAGGAACAAGGAAATGAACGTGACCCAGGGATGCTCTAAAACCACAAAGGGCATCTGTGCAAATTACAGAAGAAAGTCCTCATTCCACTCTGCAAACAGACTTCACTAGTCCTCAGAGAACAACAAAGTTTCCTCATATGACCTGCTCATGTGGTGAGAACTTACCCCTGAGACTATTAATCACTGCATTTAGTTCAGAAATAACTACGAATTATTGTGTGCATAATGATCCTACTTAGCCTTAATCTCTTGAGCCTTTATATCAATGTCAAATTACTATCATATTAGCAGGGAGCAATTTTTTATTATAAACCCTTAGAGAGAGACATGTGCTGTGTTTAACATACCTATGATCATGTAGATCAAGGAATTTTGCTACACTTATTTTATAATCAGACTTAAGGTAAGAAAAGACTTATCTGAAGAAATGCTAGTGATAATAAGAGATTTTGCTAAATTACCTATTTTTAAGGAAATAGATATAGAATACTTTGTATTCTCTATGTGAATTTTCTACTACATGTAGATATAAATTAATGCATACAGAATAATGCAGATTGTTCTAAGTAGACTTTTTTCTTCATAATAGCTGTTTTCTATAATGATACAACAAATCAATAATTAATTTCAAAAAAATAAAAACCATACAGGTTTTAATGATATTCACCATAAGATAAACATGTTGGGGTTTCTTGCACACTTGTAACATTCCTTGTGTTGAATGCACAGCAGCAGCAGCTAACATAAATCCCTTCTACTCCTTTTCTCCGACGGTCACTTTCTAAAGGTGGTGCTCTCCTCTTTATTGATGTTTCTTTTTTGAACAACAATCTTCCACTCACACCTCCACTGTCCCTAGATAGCTATGAGCCTCCCCAGGATCAGTGTTATTCATATAGAGTCCCCAGGTTATACAGCCAAAGAAGCCTGGGCAAAGCCTGCTTCTTCCGTAATCACTAAAACGCTTTAAATTCCAGGTATGTGAGCAACAGAGAATCCTAGTTTTCTCAATCAGACAGAGCCCCAAACCATGATGGCTTATGTCTACAGTGTGGAATGACCTTTGTCAAATTTTCCCTTTACTACATTCCAACCCTTCCTATGTTTGCCAAGTTAATCTTCTCTAAATATCACTTCCGTTATACACATCACCTCTGGTAAAATGCCACTTGCCTCATATATCGGCATTATTTGTTTTTCAGCTGAACACTGCAATATTGAAGCAAAGTATCATAAACAGGTTTCAACAAGCTGCAAGTGTCTGACCGCCTAATGACATCTGGGAATGGAGGTTAAGGCTCTGGCCCTGGCTCTTACACTGCATAAAGACAAGTGAGATGCTGTCTTTAAGAGCTAAACAAGTAAAATGTCTTTGTACTGTCAAACAATAGTAGCAATATCAGAAAGGAGATGAGGGAAACATATTTGGAATTTAGGATATAAATAGGACCAGAAGAACCAAAGGAGGTCTTCAGGACAGGATGAGGGCATAGAAGAAAACCTCTTTAATCTATCCCAATCAACACCAGTCAACACCTCAAAACAAAACCAAAACAAAAGTATCCTTTACTGAAACATTCTACACAATAAATGGGGTTTAAATCCATAGGATTCGTGGGGCAGGGGCCAAGCAGAAGGTTGGAGCCACTGTGGCTTTTCTCTGGTGGGTCATCTCTTTATAGCTATCCTACCAGGGCCGGTTTCCATGCCCTCCTGTTGTGGGATGGTCTGTATGTCAAATGTGTTGCTGATTGGTCAATAAATAAATCACTGATTGGCCCGTGGCCAGGCAGGAAGTATAGGCGGGACAAGGAGGAGAATAGAGCTGGGAAGTGGAAGGCTGAGTCAGAGAGACACTGCCAGCCGCCATGATGAGAAACAGCATGTAAAGATGCCGGTAAGCCATGAGCCATGTGGCAAGGTATAGATTAATGGAAATGGATTAATTTAAGCTGTAAGAACAGTTAGCAAGAAGCCTGCCACGGCCATACAGTTTGTAACCAATATAAGTCTCTGTGTTTACTTGGTTGGGTCTGACAGCTGTGGGACTGGCGGGTGAGAGAGATTTGTCCTGACTGTGGGCCAGGCAGGAAAACTCTACCCACACCCTCCACTGGTCTATCTTGTACACTGGAAAAGAAGGAAGCCAATAGAAAAGAGAAACACAGGGATTTGATTCCCTCCAGGGTAGTGATGGGTTTGTTAATAGTAGCAATTTAAACAGTGACCAATATTTAATATGTTAAAATGATTCTGACACTGGTTCCAGGCCCACATTCCTTTCTGAACTCTGTACATATGTTCAAGTAATATATTATTTAACTGCATTCATACAACATGGAATCCACAAAGTCTAACTACAGTCAAGTGAATTGGCCTCTCATATGATAACAAATAATCTGACCGTTTGCTAGTCTCCACTCAACCCTTGCTAAGGTCTGAATGTGCCTGCCAAAAAGCATGTATTGGAAGCTTAATCCCCAATACAACAGCCTTACAAGATGCAGCCAGATGGGAGGTGTGCAGGTGCTAGGACTCCATTCTCATGGTGATTGGTGCTAATTATGAAAGGGCTGGAGACTCTCTTCACTGTCTTTCATGCACGCATTCTATGCTGTGTCTTCTACTTAGGAGGAAGAAGCAAGGATACCCTCACCAGACACATCCCCTTGATCTTGGACTTTCCAGCCTTTAAGACCATGAACCAGAAAACTTCTCTTATTTATAAATCACCCAGTCAGCTGTATTTTTATATAGTGCTACAAAAGACACTGTGGTAGTTTGGATGTAATTGGCCCTCATAAGTTCATAGGAAGTGGCATTATTAGGAGGTATAGCCTTGTTGGAATAGGTGTGGCCTTGTTTGGGGAAGTGTGTCGCTTAAGAGGTGGGCTTTGAGGTTTCCTAGATGCTCAAGCCATGCCCAGTGAGCCAGTTCACTTTCTGTTGCCTTC